GGGTTCAAGCCCCACATCAGGCTCTGTGCTGACAGCTCAGAGCCTGGAGCCTCCTTCAGATTCTGTGTCTCCCTCTCTCTTTGTCCCCCCAGCTTGCACTCTGTCTCTCTCTCAAAAATAAATAAACATTAAAATAAAATAATAAAAATATATAGATGGCCACAATAATCACAAGAGAATTTTTAGCCATCCTGCTTAGTCCCTTAGCCTCTCACGAAGTTACTAAACAATGAGAACATGTTGGTGGTAAGTACTATGTTAGGTGCTAAATATGCAATATACACAACGGTGAACAAACCCATGGTGCTCACAATTAATGGAGAACTAGATCAACTAAAAATTTTTATTTTTTTTTTATTTTTTTTTTTTTTAAATTTTTTTTTTTCAACGTTTATTTATTTTTGGGACAGAGAGAGACAGAGCATGAATGGGGGAGGGGCAGAGAGAGAGGGAGACACAGAATCGGAAACAGGCTCCAGGCTCCGAGCCATTAGCCCAGAGCCCGACGCGGGGCTCGAACTCACGGACCGCGAGATCGTGACCTGGCTGAAGTCGGACGCTTAACCGACTGCGCCACCCAGGCGCCCCAACTAAAAATTTTTAAAAACCATAGATATAAAATTAGACTATAAGAAGTACTGTGAGAAATTTGTTTCCAGAGCTTAGAGAACACAAAGAATACAAATAAAGAAAACTCAAACTACACAGAAGCAAGTCTATTCCCAGATTTCCCTGGGGAACTACAGCGTGCACTGAGATCTTTAAGACACCTCGATCTGTTTAGGCTTGCGGTTGTGAAATGTCCAACAAAGGAAACATGAAATGGAGTGAAATAACTTATCTTATTTAAAGAACAAAGAAAGTCCAGTGTTATGTACAAGGGAAGACATTAAGAAGGGGAACGATGCAGGGGCGCCTGGGTGGCTCAGTCGGTTGAGCGTCCGACTTCAGCTCAGGTCATGATCTCGCGGTTTGTGAATTCGAGCCCCGTGTCAGGTTCTGTGCTGACAGCTCAGAGCCTGGAACCTATTTCAGATTCTGTGTCTCCCTCTCTCTCTGCCCCTCCCCTGCTCATGCTCTGTCTCTCTCTGTCTCAAAACTAAATAAAACATTAAAAAATTAAAAAAAAAAAAAGAAGAAGGGGAATGATGCAGAACGAGGTTAAAGAGGTAGACAGCACCCAGATCATGTAAGACCTTTGACTTAATTAAGCAGCTTGGCAGGCAGTTTGCCAAACTCCTTTTTCTCTCTTGATTCTATGTCTTTGCATGAAACTTTGGAGCTGTACAGCTCTACGCAGGGGTACAGAGAAACAGAGTAGGATGTATATATAAGTCCAAAAGATTATACCGGAGCAATATTAAATGAAAGGCTTGCAAGAGTGAGTGCAGAGGAAGTATTCAGGCAACTATGGCAGTAGTCCAGATGAGAGAGAATGAAATCTGAACTGGCTGAGAAGGAGATGGTAGGGAGAGAAGTGGAGATGAAAATGGACAGAAGCAGATGCTTTCAAGACATGTTTAAGAGGTAAGACCAGTAAGTCCCTACTTTAAAACACAGTGCTAGAGTCTCTTCCAAGTCAAGCTCTAGAACTGTAAACATCTGGTTTGTGGACCTTTTTTTCCTGTATCAATCAGCTAGAGTTTGTTTTTGCAAGAGAGAAGTGGGAAGAGGGGGCAATGCACTCGCCACTTAAAATAAGCAGTAACAGTTTATGTGAGAAAGGAAGGAAGGATATCTGGGTACCATTACAGAGTCTGCTTATAAACAGGGCCCAGCAATGAAGCCATCAAGGAAGGATGTAGAAGAAATTCAATAGGTCCAAAGCTGCATGAAAAGAAATGTGACCAAGAGAGAAAAAGGAATTTGATTCAAAATTATAAGGCTCAGGTGATGAAGTGAATTAGAATGAAAGCTGAAAACAACAACAAAAAAGTATATCAACTGTTTTTGTAGGTGAATGAGATAAAGGTAGAAAGGCAGTGTGTGTGAGTGCAATCAGGAACTGTCACGGGAATTTACTGGATTGCATAAACAAATTTTAGTTACTAATAGAAGTAACATATTAAGTGTGGAAGTCAGGTTGGGATTCATTTTCCCACATGGGGGTGACAAATATTGTTAAATTGATCAAGGGACAAGCAGAGCAAAGAATCACTATCCATACACTAAAAATTTCCAAAACATATTTTTAAACACTGAGCTTTAGAAATTGATGGACAGGGGGGCGGGTTGCTGAACGGTTTGGGCGGTTAAACATCCAACTTCGGCTCAGGTCATGATCTTGCAGTTCGTGGGTTCAAGCCCTGCAGTGGGCTCTGTGCTGACAGTTCAGAGCCCAGAGCCTACTTTGGAATCTGTGTCTCCCTCTCTCTCTGCCCCTCCCTTGTTTGCACTCTGTCTCTCTTTCTTAAAAATAAATAAATGTTTTAAAAAATAAAAATAAATAAAAAAAAGAAAGAAAGAAACTGATCAGGGAAGGCAGGACCCTATTTGTGGCAAAGACAACTAGGTAGCTGTCCACCAAAAATTGTATGTCCCTTCCATGGTTTAGAGTTGCCCCAGGAACTGATGCTCAGCAAGACTTCATTTCCTAGCACCCCTGTGTCTAGCAAATACATGTTACTAGAATGATGTGACTCATTCTAGTTAAGGTTAAAGATGTAAAGAGGCAGGTGTGGTTTTTGCATGTTCTCTTTGACTGTTTCAGCCAGCTGGTTGCAGAAGACATTAAGGACTTAGGGAACAGCAGAGCTCAAAGAAGGATAGTGTCAAGGCCTTAAATCATTGTGGGAGGAAAGCCATCCATCAACCAAAAATAACTACACTAGATGCAAGAATATGCCTCTATAAGTATATTTGTATGATGAGTGTGTATAAATAGGGCATCAAACGTCTAAACTGAAACTTTATAAAGACTGTAGAGAGATTAATCAAAAGACACAATGTGCCCAGGATGTGGCTGAAAGAATGTCAATAGAAAGGAATGTGAAGAGTTGGGAAATGTTTATGAAGGTTGACTGCCACTTTGAGAATTCCCTGAGAAAAAGCTGGAAGAGCTCCATATCCTCCCTTTACTTACTCATATAAGGGGCTGAACACCTAGAAAGAGAGGTGATCAATGAGAACATCTTAACTAGAATATAAATACAAAATAGGTGTCAGGCATATTTTTTTTAAGTTTAAGTCTATAATTTGGTCACTTATAATTTATATCAATTCTCTCTGGTCTTGGAGTAATCACCAACTAAGTAGTAATAAGGAGTCTAATAAATAAAGAGTCCTGTGGACCCTTAAGGGGATAATTTATAAATAAAGAGTTCTGTGAATCCTTAAAAGGTCAGAATAATTTATAGGTGTTCAGCAGTTTACTGAGAATGAATTTTTCTAATTGTATATGTAGTGATCTCTAAGAAGGCCAAATAATTTAATGGTAGGGGATTCTACTTTGTCAAGGCAAAGAAACAATAACAGTGTGTAACTGAATGTTTCAGGTTTCCTTTTTAACATGTATTAATTTAGGTACTTCAGGAATACCTATGCTGGGCTAAAGCACAAACCTGGAAGTTTGCCACGATAGAAAGTCCAAAACAACTCAGTAATCCAAGTACAAGGCCAGCCTTGTTTATTCTGATGATACGATTCTCTTCAGGATTCAGAGCATGAACTTGCTTATAACGAACATAAATTGTAGCAATGCCTGGGAAGAGATAATCCGAATGACAACAAAGTAATAAATAACCAGGGAATAAAGTTGCCAACAGTTAACAAAGGTCATATATCATAGATTTTCCTTTTACATTTTATTTGAGAGAAGAGAAAAAACAAAAAGCAGAATCAGCTGTCGATTTCAAAGAACTTTTAAGGTTGCATTATGGAACTAGTAATATCTCTGTGTGACTCAAAGGCACTGGCCTCCTGTGGGCCTCACATTTACAAATATTCAGGATAAAACTTAAGAGAGAAGTTTGATGTTTTCTGAAAATGTCTAATGATAAGTGTTATATAAAACACAAACTATTCTATACGATTAGCATTAAAGTCTAAAGTAATTAGTGCTAAAATATGGATAAAATGAGTCCAGGCAAACAAAACAAAACACTAAAAGATGATTTGCCTCACTCTCATCAAATTATTACAATTTGGCTCAATGAGATATAGCAGTCAATTACACAGGGGGAAAAACCACACAACAACCCATTTTACTATCCTTGTTAGTCAAGAAAGAGTCAAATCAAATCAAAATTTCCATGGCAAAAATATCAAGGATCTCAGAAGTGTAGAAAAGGAAACAGAGATATGCTTTTGTAGACAAGTTTTTGAAAACTTTAGTCATAAGAAGAATTTCTATGCACTGAATCATTTCCTTGACTTCAATTTTTGAAGCAAGTAATAAATATCATATGGAAGAATGCAAATATTTAAAACAGTCAAAACTGAGAGAAAAAATATTTTTTTTTAATTTTTTTTTTCAACGTTTATTTATTTTTGGGACAGAGAGAGACAGAGCATGAACGGGCGAGGGGCAGAGAGAGAGGGAGACACAGAAGCGGAAACAGGCTCCAGGCTCTGAGCCATCAGCCCAGAGCCCGGCGTGGGGCTCGAACTCCCGGACCACAAGATCGTGACCTGGCTGAAGTCGGACGCTTAACCAACTGCGCCACCCAGGCGCCCCGAGAAAAAATATTTTAGTAAATCATTAATGAAGTTTGGTTCAAAAAAATAAACAGGAATGTAAAATCCAGTAGAACTCCATTCTTTTGGCATTAGAACATCATTCAAAAATCAAAACGTGGTTCCACGGCTGCTCTCAAACTTCTAAGCTGTTTATCCCAAATGAATTTAGTTGGTGTTAGTTGTGAGCAGTGTGTTTACAGCTTTCTGTCCTCTACTGGTTCCTTAAGAAATCCACTTAAGGCCTCAAGAAATATTTGGTTGTACTTTACAACTTCTATTTGGATGAGAAGTTAAATAGCCTCATAGATATGTCTATGATTTCTGTAATTTAGCATTTTTAGAAATTGCTCTTCTTTTAAAAGAAACATATCTGCGATCAACAATTTAGTGATAACAGTCCCTCCAGTAAACAGAAAGTAAAACAACGAACAGAGTAGTGTTTAAAGAAGGAAATTAATTTAGTTATTAATTTCAATTTTTAAAATAATTCCCATCACTTACATAAAACTGCAGCGATATTTAACATTGCCCCAAACAAGCATTTTTCTGGAGGCAGTGTACCTGTGTCACTGAAAGAAAAAAAAGAAGGTATGTGGATTTCTCACACTAGGTATACATGTGCATTTTTTCTAAAGAATAAAAAATAGCAGGGATTACTCAAAATCCTTTGTCTTTGTATACATTTGTAAGTTCAGCTCTTATATAATTTTATGAGAACATGACAGTTTGAGCTCACAATATCCTACCTGGTTCACTTTTTCTTGTATCGCTTTAGCTTATTTCTTTTTCACATAACAGAAATCAACAGAAAATGATTCGAAAAACACACAGACAAAAGCACATGCTGGGTATGTTAGGGCTGTGTTCCTGACTTCCATCCTGGGCAGGTGTGTTCATCTGTCTCACCGGAATATTCATTCCCTAAACACCGCAGGTTCTTTCACAACTCTGTCTTTTGGCATCTGTTGTTGATGCTGCCTATAATTCAATTAATACTTAATCATTTCCTGTTAATTAAAAAAACATTTATCAAGCACCTCCTACGTGCCAGACAGTATTTTAGGGACAGGAATACAGTGGTTAGTAAGAGACAAAGCCCTTGCCCTCCTGGAGCTTCCACGCGAGACCAGTTTTGAGTCCCCTCCCCTCCATAGCCTTAGCCAACTCCTCTAGCAGAGTGCAGACTCACAAAGCATTCTGTCCAGACTTCTATCGAAATCACTTAGTACAATGTATCGCAATGCATCGGTTTACATGCCTGTGTTTCAGGGCAGTGTGGAATACACAGATCCAGATCAACAGTCCACCCACCATTTACTGCAACACCTTGGGTATGCTCTTTTCAGTCCTTCTGACTGCTCCTTATCTGCAAAATGGGGCTATTAATTCCCTCCCAGCCTCATCAGACCAACAAGAGGAAATGAAACTGTGGTCATACATGTGAAGATCTAGCAAAGTAGCAGACGCAGGGGAGATGCGTATTAAATGTTACCTCCTTTCCCTTCCTTCAAACTACAGTAAAGATAAAAAAGACAAAGACTTTCAAAGTCTCTTTTGAAAATAAGAAGGATCTCAACTAACACAATGTAATGGGATTAAAAACAAAATGGAAACTCGTGTCTGGTAAGGAATCAATAAGGTTTGGCGAGTTAAGTTGGGTTAAGTTCAGGAAAACTAAAGTATCAAATATCAATTCTAAGTATTGTTCCTTCTGACTCTAAAATGTATCTTCAGAAACAAAAGATTTTGTTACTCTGATCACCTTCAGGAGGTGGAGATTGTGGTTTTGTTTGTTTCTTCTACCTTTCAAAATTTCAAAAATAATGTATATATATTCTTATAATCAGAAAAAAATATCCATAATAATCCATAATAGTTGCATTTCAAGTGATGCTACAGTTTTGAACTATCCCATAAGTAAACAAAAGCATGCATTTCCAAGACGACTGGCTAAGTGTGCTCCTTCCTTGGCTCTGCATCAGAATGACATAAACTGGCCCACAAGTGAAAAGAGCCAAGTCCATCACCTCATCAGCATGATGCCCCAACCCGGTGGTCATCAAATTATTTTGATCATACACTATCAAAAAAAAAAAAAAAAAAAAAAAAAAAAAAAAAAAAAAAAAAAAAAAAAACCTGATCATGTAACTTCAAAATGTATGTATTATATAAACATTGAGATTTAAACAAAATACAGAAGTTCTAATAATTTCTCCTCGTGCCCCAGTACTAGTCTTGTGCATTCTACCTGAGCGTCCACTACTTGAACCACTAAGAGAACATGTGCAGTGTAACCACTGAAGCACATGTGCAGTGGAATTGTCTTTGGAGTGAAATTTACACTTGGTTATGTCTTTTGGGACTATTAACAACTAAACCTTTCAGATAGGGTGTGTGAGCTGAAAGGAAGTTTGCAGAGCATCTAGTCTAACTCAATCATTTTTCAGATGAAGGAAACGAGCCTGAGAAGTAAAATTAAGTACTACTGAGTTTAGATATATTAGAATGTTGGAGAAAGATCCCAGGGTAATATTACTAAGGTCATTAGCAGGAAAATAAAAAGGCAGAACGACAGGGATGGAAAAGGAAGTGTCTAGGGTACTATCTATCAGAAAGTCACATGCAGTACCATCACAGAACTGAAACTCTGAAGAACCCAATGGCCTCTTAAATGATTAAAAGCTCTTTAAAGTGAAAGCAGACAAGTTCTCGAAGGGGAAGTAAAAATGCTGACGGATGCTCAGGAATCACAGATATATGCTCGCTAAAGAGTTACTAAAGAATGAACGGGCTCCTTAAGCTACATATTCTGCTAGCAGAGTGGTGAACGGTGGTGATTCTTCATCAGATTATTCCAAGACTTGGAACCTTAAATTCAAAAGTATCTTTGATTTTTGTACATCTTCCCAAAGTGTACCCAATTTGTTGATATCCTTTACTCCACAGCATGCTACTGTGAGAACAGATGTAGATGGTAACATTCTGATCTCTTCTTGATATTTTTAAAAGGTAAATTTAGGCTTTTGGTTTATCATCCTTTAAAAGTTCACTATTTTCTATGTTGGAAAGATTACTTTTCAGGAGATAAACAAGTGAAACAACTACAGCAACAAAACAAACAATGGAAGGAAATCAACAAAACCATTATATTACCTCTGGACAGGCAGGAACTGGAGAGGGCTGAAACAGGCTTTCATTTTTTACTTTTATAATCAGTCTAGTATTGCTTAAAATGTGTTAGAATAAGTATATATTGCCTTTATAATTGGGAAAAAAAGAGAGTTACTGACATCGCACATGCAACTGAGTACCCATACTAACGTCGTTATTAGTTTTGAAATTTCAAAAATATTACTGATAAATTTTGATACTTAAATGTGGTAGAAAGATCTAGACGACATGTCATAAAGATTATGAGCAGAGCCTGTAGAATCAAATTATCCAGTCAAACTGAACCTTGGTTCCATCACTTACTGAATCATGTGCCCTTGAACAAATAACTTAACCTCGGACCTCATTTCCTCCTCTCTCAAATGGGGGTAATAATTCTTACTTCAAAGGGTAATTGTAACTATTCAATTATTTAAGACCTGAAGAATGCTTGAAACATTACCTTGTACACAGTGGGTCAAGAAATAGTTGCCATTACCATTACATTTTAATACTATTACTGTTGTTTGCAGCATTTTTGAATTTTAAGGGGAGAATAATTCCACATCTCTCTTCTGAGACAACCTCAAGTACTTGTTTGGAAAACAAGACACTTGAACGTCGTAATTCACTAACTAGTTCACTAAGTGAATCTAATTCCATCTCCACATTTTTCTATCACATGGAAAGAACCAAACATAACTTCCTTTTTATATCCCTTTGGTTGTTGTAATGTCAAACATGAAATCTGAATTTTAAACGTTAGCATTAAATGTGGCTTTGGCTACTATAGACATTTTATCAATATTTGTTCTTCCAATCCATGAGCATAAAATGTTTTTCCATTTCTTTGTGTCCTATTCAATTTTTCATCAGTGCTCTATGAAGCAGAGTACAGATCTTTGACTTCTGTGGTCAGGTTTATTCCTAAGTATCTTATGGTTTTTGGTGCAATTGCAAATGGCTTCAATGTTAAAATGTGAATGAAACAGTCTCCTATAAAAGGATACATTTCACTGACCTGATATAAGGCAAAGCAGGGTCAACATGGTGGAGTGTTATAGCAATAATGTACGAAAATATGAAAGCAGCAGCTGTCCAAATTACTAGGGCAGAAGGAAGGAAACTGAGACCTTGCTGAAACCACCACATCTCAAACACGTCTTCCGAAGTAGAAAAAAAAACAAAAACAAATTAGAAAAGATTATTCACAAGTATTTCATCTCTTCTTCTTTAGCTATCCACTCCCACAATCTTGTACTTATCACCATGAGCTGTCCCACTTCTGAAATCATCCCCCATACCATCTCCTAACACCTGTTTGCTTTCAATTTCTCGGTAAATGGAACCGAGTTTCACCCACTTGCCATATTCAGAAACATCCTTTCTCCCCCATCTTTCCACACATAATCAAGTACTAAGTAATGTTTATTCAATCTCTCAAATATCCTTCAAATCTACCCTTTCTCTCCATCTTCCCTGCCACTACTCTACCCAAAATACCATCATTTCTTTTTTTTTTTTTTAATTTTTTTTCAACATTTTTTTATTTATTTTTGGAACAGAGAGAGACAGAGCATGAACGGGGGAGGGGCAGAGAGAGAGGGAGACACAGAATCGGAAACAGGCTCCAGGCTCCGAGCCATCAGCCCAGAGCCTGACGCGGGGCTCGAACTCACGAACCGCGAGATCGTGACCTGGCTGAAGTCGGACGCTTAACCGACTGCGCCACCCAGGCGCCCCAAAATACCATCATTTCTTGACCAGATTATTGTTATAATCTCCTAAATGGTCCTTCTCTAGTGTGGACCATGATCAATCTAGACTCCACCCTATAACCAGAGTGATCCTTCTAATTCTGAAATACCAATCTGACCACCAAATTCTCCTACAAGAATCTTTCGGTGCCTCCCTGTGCCCTTATAAATTGTCTTTCCTCCTTAACACAATCTACAAGGTCTTTGTATTGTCTGATCTCTACTTACCTTTCCATAATTCATCTCTGACTACTTATTTGTTCCCAGTTCCTTGTTCTAGTTATCACCATCTTCATCATCATTACAAAAGTAAACAAGTGTCTACTCTGTGTCACCAAGTTACTAAGCATCTTAATTACATGATCTCATTTACTTCTCAGAACAGAATTACAGAGACAAAGAAAACTGTGCAAGGTCACAGAGCTGGAACTCAGTAGAGACAGAATTCAAACACAGGCCTTCCATTCTAACACCAATCACTATGCTCTACTGCTATAGCGAACTTCTTTCAGATGTTCAAATGGGTCATGCTCTCTTGCACACTCATAGACCTTCATGTACACTGTTCTGTCTGGATGGCAGGCCGCAGTGCTATCATCCCCCCAGCCCTACGACCACCTGTTAACTCCTATACATATTCAAGTCCCAGATCTTCCAGCTTCAGCTGAGTGGCCCCAGTTTGTTTCCAATAGTACCCTTTACTTCTCCAACCAGGGCATTTATCTCACTTAACTGTTCCTAGTTTGCTTGGTTTTATCTTCACTAAACCTTAGATTCTGAGACAGCAGAAACCAACTGTTTTGTTCACCATTACATGCAGAAGGGCAGGGAGAAGAAAAAGAGCACCTAAATACACACCTAACACACATCACCACTTTCTTTCTTCAACTCCAGACGGAGAATGTTAAGTAATCATAATGAATTTTAAGACATTAATGTATCCGAATGCATTTACTTTTCAAAAATAAATACAGAAATACTTTCAAATTCTAAGAAATTACTCCTCTGTATGTGAAAATAATTTCATGTTTGGAGGGGTATCTTCTCATAGTTTGAGGGACAGAAATTGAGTATTTCCCATGAACAATGTAAGAACAACTCCTATCTACACAACCCTCCAGTACACTCAGCGTCCGCATCTCAGACTGAGGTTCTAAACAATGAAATCTCAGCCATTTTTCACTTGTCATTTACTCTGATCATCTGACTTGTTGCTAAATATGTACATTTAAATCTTGCTAAATAAGTTTCTTTTCCTTTATCCCCAAAGTCACCATTATAGACATGGTTTGAGTAATTTCCTGCCTGAATTATCATAATCTCCTTCTTTCTGTTCTTTTTTTCCCTTCTGAGTCTTTAACATTCTATCAATGCTTTTCATCAATTTAAACATGACAATTCCTTGCCACATTCCTATAGTGCTTTCCCCGGCATAAGTTTCTGGGATAATGATTCTCAATTTCTAGAAAGTTTGAACTGCTTCTAAAGTCTTTAATTTTTCTCCTTTCTTCTCTTTGAACATTATTTTAATTTGTTTTGGGTAATTCTAATGCAACATCCTTAGAGGAATCTAATTTCATATTTGTTGGTTCCACCACCCCTTGTACCTGTTTTATAGTTTTTGACCATGAACTTGTATTTGGATGATTTTAATTGGGAGAATTCTAAAAGGCTTAGGTTAAGGGTAAATCATTCCAGAAGCGCCTGGGTGGCTCAGCTCAGTCGGCTGAGCGTCCGACTTCAGCTCAGCTCATGATCTTGCCATTCCCAAGGTCAAGCCCTGTGTCAGGCTCTGTGCTGACAGCTCAGGGCCTAGAGCCTGTTTCAGATACTGTGTTTCCCTCTCTGTGTCTGACCCTCCTCCGCTCATGCTGTGTGTGTCTCTTTCTCTCTCAAAAATAAACAAACATTAAAAAAAGAAAAGAAAAAAAGGGTGAATCATTCCAGGGAGGGTCTATAACTATTTTTGCCAGACACTCTGGCACATTACCAACCTAGGCCAACTTTAATTTCTTGACTTCCAGGTTTTTCAGACCATGTAGATATGTAAATTGAGCCCTGAATCTGAGTGATGGCAGACCCTGTAGCTTCAGGTTCTCAAGGGGGAGCTTTACTCCCTCACCTGGACCTGGGTGAAAATTTCTTTGTGATCTTCCTTTGCCAGAAAGGAGATACATTTCCTAGCCCACCTTTCATTGAGTGTGGATTTTTGAGGATCCTGGCTGAATGAGGGGGAAGGTGATTCTCCAAGGCCGTGAGTTGTACAGTTGCAAGTAGAAATCTTTACATTTTATTTTTTATGAGAAAGGTCATCCCCTGAAACACATTTACACAAACTACCCTGTGAATGATGCCTCTTGGATTTGTATACCTGAGAAGTTAAAGGGGTATGAATTATACCTCTCTACTTTGGGGGGAGTGTGGGGAGGGGTGGGGAGAAGAGGAGCCTATGAGCTGACTCTAATTGTGCTTCATTTCTGCTATCAGCCAAATGCCCTCTCCCCACAAAAGACACATTGCTAGTTTACTACTATGGTTTCTGCTCTCTCTCTTTGACTTTTAGCCCTGGGCATTTTCCTTTCTGATCTACACGCCTGCTATGCATTAAAAGGCTAATATAATTTATCCAACATTTAGGTGTTTTAGCAAAAGTAATTTTCACAACATCATGTCCATCTCATTTCTAGAAGCATAACCTCCTCTCCCTTTAATCATTTTTGAACACCCACATCCTTCCTATTCTTTACAATGGAGCTCAAATACCATCTTCCACACACAACCTTCCCTATCTCTTTGCATCTGGAAATAAGCACTCCTTCTTCAGAGAACGCTAGATTTGCACATCTCTCATGGCTATTATCTTCTGCAGTAGGACAGATAAGGAGAGTGTCTTTAAGTGGATAAAATCCTTGATAAGAGACTCTACTGCCTAAGCATAGCAGAGGGCCTTGCCCATAGTAATCATTCACTCACTATTTTCTTTTTTTTTTTTTTTTTAAGTTTATTTATTTATTTGAAAGAGACAGGCAGAGAATCCCAAGCAGACTCTGAGCTATCAGCGCAGAGCCCAATCCAGGGCTCGATCTCACGGACCATGAGATCATGACCTGAGCCAAAATCAAGAGTTTCATGACTGAGCCACCCAGGCACCCCTCACTAAATATTTTCTGAATGAACAAACAGCCAAACCCAAATTATCTTAAACCCTAAAAGGATTCATGACTTTTCTACTTCAGCAAACAGTATTACCATTTTTCTAGGTTATACAGATTCTAAAACCTCAGAGTAACCCTATGTTCCAATACAGAATCCTCCAGCCGAATGTGGCTATTTAAATTAAAATTACAAATAACTAAAATAAAACTTAAAAATTCAGTCTTTCAGTCACACTAGCCACATTTCAAGTGCTCAAAAGCCACATGTGTCTAGTGGCTACCATGGAAGATGGTGAACACATAGAACATTTTCCATTATCAATAGGAGAGTTCTATTGTACCATGCTACATAGCTATCACAGGGATTGCACTGACATAGCACAAGAAACTAACACATTACTGGTACATAATAAGGGCTATCTTTTACAATTAACTGTTTGAAATAATGCCCAGTGCACAGAGGTTTAGTCAAGAACTAAATGAATTAATATAAGTGAAATACTGTCATAGATGGTCCACAAATGGTTGTTCCTCTTGTAGAATGCAAAAGATGAATTACCTGTTTTACAAGTTCATAAGATACGTCTTCAAATCTGCACAAACCTGCACCTTTGTAAATCTTGAAATCTACATACAAAGAGAGTAAAGGGGTATTTCAAACTGCTTTCTTTTAAACATGTACAATTTCAAGTCAAGGTATCAATATTTGTTCATGGGTAGAACACTATGTTATAGAATTAATAACTTATTTTTCTTTAAAGAGTTGATAATTCTATGTTTAATTTTTTTATTTTAAATCTAGTATAGTTAACATATGGTGTTATATTAGTTTCAGGCATACGATACAGTGATTCAACCATTCTATACATTACTCAGTGCTCAAGATAAGTGTACTAGTGTGTTTTATAATGATGTTGTACCATCAGAAATTAAGTAATATTTTAAATCCAGGATGTCAATTTTCCTATCCTTTCTCCCATTAGACAACTTTCACTGACCTCAAAAAAGATAAAATGAAAGGAAAAACACTGAGTTTCCTCCTACAAAAGGAAAGACAAAAATGAGGAAAGAACAATAGTTTATTATTAAGCAAAATAAAACATTAGTCTGTGTGATGCAATGGAAAGAACACACACAGTTGTGAGAGGAGGAAAAAAAAAAATCACTAATCTGTGTGATGCAATGGAAAGAACACAGTTGTGAAATCAGTTGTGACATTTAGCCAAGTGCAAATCCTAGCTTTATCAAGTCCCAGCTGTGTGATTTAGGAAAGTTACTAAGCTTCTCTGAGTTACAGTATTCTGATTTGGAAAGCAGCTATATCAAAGGGTTGTTCCTTAGAGTAGAACAGAGTAAGCACACAATTTAACAATGAGAGTTGATTTATCAATTTTGTACAACTAGCCAGAGGGATGGGGAACAACACTCAATTCTTTGCATGTGTGAATCATCTTGGAGTTGTATCTCCTTAGGCTTTGAGGGTTCTCATTGTTTAAACTGACAGTTTAGATGAGAAGCAGGGCTTGAAATGATTTACCAATTTGCTAATGACAACTGAAAACTTTAAGTGCACTGACTTGGTAAGGAAGACTACTTTTGCTCATGTATTTTCACAGTGGAAAGCTGGAAGTATGGCTGGCTAAGTGCCAAGCAAATAAAGTTACAATTTTAATGGTTAATGATTTAAGGAAACCTTTGAAAATAAGCAGGAATAATCTTCATAGAGTAGTAAGAGTGATTAACAAAATGTTGTTGCATCTCTCACCTACCTTCTCTACTTTGAAGATCCACGAATCAGAACTGCAGTTACAATTCTTAAATTTCACAAATGTTTGAACGCCGCTGGTAATAAGATGAATTCCTTATTCATCTGCTGAGTCCTCTAAGTGGTGACTGATAAGAAACAACAAGAAAGTAAATTCTAGATATTCCAACTGAAGAGAGAAAGCCTAAAAAAGAGAGAAAGCTTAAAAAAAAAATTCTATGGAACCATCAGGCCCAAAGCAAAACAGAAAACGGTTATTTGTCTAAACTCTAACTTGGCCTTCTAGCAAATGTGATATTCTTGTAACTGCTAAATCCTATAGAGTCTAAAAGATTAAGTAACTTTGTTATACGTTGGGTCAAATGTTATAGGGAGAGAAAGGGGGGAGAATCTGATGATGCCACAAGAATTACAGAAAGGCATTTGGGTACTGATTTATAAATTAAAATTTGGAAGAACTGGAAAAATTTCCCTGGTGTGTTTTCTGTTTTTCAAATGTATCCTAATGCAAAGAAAGCACGGTGTGAGGATACAAAGGACCAGCCATTTACCTTTCCGTATCGGGCTCACACACCGTTCACTCCGCCCCGCGACAGAACTGCGCGTGGTGGACAAGCTTCGGGTAAACACAAGGTCAACACAGATCTCAATTTCAAACCTGCCCCCAAGCACCCTACCAAGAACTCTGAGCCTGGGAGTGAAAACTGCAGTTTTTGTGGGACTGGGGCGAAGGTTCTCAGTAGCCGCTTAAAACAAAACCAAGGCACTATTTACACCGTTGCCTCCTTCAGAGGTGCAAAGCCCTCGGACTAGCACCTGGGGCCAGGAAAAATGCGGGAGGTGGAGCCTGGCCCGGCTCGCGGATAGGGGGCAAGGGAGAGGGAAGTGGGAGGGGGACCGCCCAAGGATGGGGGCGCAAAGGTGAAGCGCGGAGACCTAAGCCCAGTGCACACACCCGCCCCGGTCCCCCGGAGCCCGTCCGCGCCCCGACCACCACCAGGTCCCTCTCCCGCGCTTCGCACAGCGTAGGGCCAGCTGGCACGCGACTCGTGCGCGGGCCACCTTGG